TCCAATCCTGCACCCCCATCTCCTCCATCCCCAAATAGTGCAAGGAACCCCTCTGGGGTCTCCATACCAGATCCTGGTGGCACTGAACATGTCACCTGTGTCCCACAGACCACTGGTGTACACCGTGTCCCTCCTTCTCCCCGCTGCCTACCTCATCGGCCTCTTCTTCACCCTGAAAACTCACTCGCACATCTATGACATCCACATCAGCGGCTGCCACAGTGAGTGTCCCCAAAATGTGAGATGTCCCAGCTGCAGGGCTGGCTCTTCTCACCTCCCTGGGACGTCCTACCATGTCTCTGCTCTTCCCCCCAGTGCCTGGCCACCACCACAGCGCTGTGGTCCACTGGTCTCGCTGGCGGGCCCTGGTTATCCTCCTGCTTTCCACCCTCTGCATGTCAGCCTGTGCTGACCTGGCCACGGAGCACATCAGCCCCATCCTCACCAACTCCACCATCTCACAGGTGAGTGTGGGACGGTGGTGACCCAGGGGACCAAGATGTGTCCTCTAGGGTTTAGAGAAGAACTCTGCCCTTTTGAGTTCCAAAAGCTGGGGGGAAGATGCTGAGATGCTCAAAGGACTGGGGGGAAGATGCTGAGATGCTCAAAGGACTGGGGGGAAGATGCTGAGATGCTCAAAGGACTGGGGGGAAGATGCTGAGATGCTCAAAGGACTGGGGGGAAGATGCTGAGATGCTCAAAGGACTGGGGGGAAGATGCTGAGATGCTCAAAGGACTGGGGGGAAGATGCTGAGATGCTCAAAGGACTGGGGGGAAGATGCTGAGATGCTCAAAGGACTGAGGAACTTGGTTGCCCACAGCTTAGAGGTGGTCAGGATCAGGTCACATGCATGTGCTGATGTCCCCTCTTCCCCTGCAGTACTTCATTGGTGTCACTGTGCTGGCGATGGTGCCTGAGCTGCCAGAGATAGTCAATGGCATCCAGTTTGCCCTGCAGAACAACCTCAGTTTGAGGTGAGATGGCTCAAAGGATGGGTTTTGGGGTGTCCTCCTCCACTGTGGTCCCTGTCCCGGTCCCATAGCTGTAACTCGGTGCCAGTGACGGGCTGCCCAGCTTCATGCTACTGCTGGTTCAGATCCCTGCCAACTTGCCCTCAAGAAGACCTAAGCTCATCCAAAAAATGGGGCCAGAACCAGGTTGGGCTGCATGATTTGGGTCCTCGAGGTGAGGTTTTCTCACCCTGAGCTGGGCAACCCAAGGGCTGCTGGAGGCCTGGAGTTCAGCAGCTCTAAAGTCCTCTGTCCTCCCTAGCATCGAGATTGGGAACTGCATCGCCGTCCAGGTCTGCATGCTCCAGATCCCCATCCTGGTGCTCTTCACCATCTTCTACGTGAGTAGACCCAACACAGCCCCTGGGTGACCTCCTGCAGTGGGGCTGGGGACACACAGCACTCGATGAAACGTGGTGGCAAGGGGACAGCTGCAGTGTCTCCTCTGCTCAGTGCCGGGGAAAGTGGGGTAAGATGTCTCCTACCTCAGCTGGTGCTGTCCCCAGCCCTAGGGACGTGTGGCAGAGGGGGTTTAAGGGGTGACATGCAAGTCCCCAGTCAGTGCAGGGATGTCCTGATTGGCCATAAACCCCAAATCTTCTCTGCTTCGCAGCCCACCAACTTCACACTTGTCTTCAGCGACCTCCATGTCTATGCCAGCATGTTCAGCGTGGTGCTCATGAACTACATCTTCATGGATGGCAAATGTGACTACTTCCAAGGTGACTGCCCACCTGTGAGGCTGCTGTGGGACTTCCCTGTGCTCATGGGGTGGGGGGAGCTCCTGGAGAGCGCCATGGGGGTCATCTGCTTGCTGCAGCTCTTGGGCAATGTGGTGGCTTGAACAATTCTGGGGCCTTGGTTGACCATCTGGGGCCTTGGTTGACCATCTGGGAGGTGCTGGAGCTGCCACCCTGCAGCAGCTCCGAGGGGGATCACTCCCCTTTCACCCTTTAAGAGGAAGTTCTAAACCCCTTTTGAGATCTTGCTGAGGACCATGAAAGTCCTCTACAGTGGGATTGTCTGGGCCACACCAGAAGGTCTTAGGAGCAAACTTCCCCCTTGCTCCAGGGGGTAACCTCCTCCAACCTGCTCTGTCTACCCTAGGCACGGTGCTGGTGATGGTCTACTTCATCCTCCTGGCTGTGTATTTCTTCGCCCCATCACCCAGTGGTTGCTGAGGTTTGGACTCCGCGTTCTTCAACCTTCTTGTTGGGCTCAGCGCCCGTCAAGGTGTTATCTGGTGTCTCAGGGACTTGGCTGGGCTGGATCCAGTCTGGAAGCATCATTTGCTGAAGCTCCTGCTGCTGCCTGGCTCCCCCAGTGGGGTGCCAGTGGAGCTTCAGTGATGGGAAGGGTGGTGGTGATGGAAGCACTCCTGAACCAAGAAGGAGCCTCAAGACCAGAGCACTTCACAGAGGTATTTCCAGCCCACGCTTGTATGGTTGGAAGGAAAATTGTCCCCAGTGGAGGGTCTTGAAGGGAATTTCTGTGTGGTCTTGAGGACGGACTCCTCCCTTGAGATATGTTGCACTGGGAGAAAGTGCCTGAGAAGAGCTTCTTGACCTTCCAGGTAGTAGGTGATCCCTGGCCTGGGAGGAATTTGGGTCTGGGGATCACACAGGGCTTCTTGATGGTACTAGAAATGCACCAAAAGGTATTTTTCAGCTGTTTTGTCATTAAAGCAGTTTTGTACGAATCAGAAACAAGTTTGTTTCTCCTTAAACGAGCCTTGGGTCACCTGTCTGGGCCCCTCTGTGCCCACCACCCAGGTTAGTGATGGTCTTGGGGTGATGGTGTGCTTGGTGTCCACAAAGGATGGCTCTCAATGATGTGGATGTTGGGCACCAGCGATGGCACAGCTGGAGCCAGCTTCCCTGGGAGTGGAGCAGGATAGCAATGTCCTTTGTCACAGCACCAGAGCAGGTGGCAGAGGAGATCCACCACCATGCCACGGGGACAGAGCCACCTCTGTGGGCTCCAGCTTTCCCCATGACCTTCCCTAAGCTCCAGCTCATTTCCAGCCTGCTCTTACCCAACTGTCCTGGGTCACCCTTGCTTTTGGAGGTCTGTAACTCCTGAGAAAGGTCAGGGATGCTCCTGGTGCTGATGCAGGGTACGAGGTGTGACATGGCTGGGGACCTACTCATCTCCTTCTGCGAAGGGAAATGCCAGTGGGTGAGGTGAGAGGACAAAGCAGGTGGCTTGGACTGATTTATTAGCAGAGCTTTAAAAAAAAACACCAAAAAACACCCCAAACCAACCCAAAAGCAAAACACTGACAGGTACAGAAACACAGGCAATGTGGCTCCTGTGCCCCATCTCCCTCCCCAGCCCCATGGGGACCTGCTTCGGTGTAAAAACCAGGGAGGAGGGTGCTGTAGGTCCCACAGTCAACAGAGGAACAGGACTAGACCTCAAACATCCCAGAGTAAGGCAGGGGGCAGCAGCCTGGGATCCTCCTCCTTCTCATTAGCAATTAATGATGCTGCCTCATCAAGCTTATTTTGTTTTCCTAGTAGGGCATCAGTGGGGACAATCCTGCTGCCATTAATATGGATGTCTGGGAAGGTTCCTGGGTGACACCCAGAGTTGGGTGATGGCAGCAGATAGGCACAGGGCAGAAAGAGATGGAAGAGGTGTGGGATGGGAGGCCAGAAGATGATGGCACCAAGCAGGTTCTCCTCCATCTCAGCTGAGGCTAAGCTGAAAACATCTACCCCGGGCTGAGGGATGCTTGGGACTTCTCCTGGAGGTAGATCCAGCCTTCATGTTTGGGTAAGTGTGGATGCTGCAGGTCCCTTTCCCAGTAGCTGCTGGTGGCTGCAAGGATGCCCCAAAGAGGTCCCACATGACCTCAAGCTGCTCTGCTCGATGCTGGGGTAAGTCATGGGGTGAAGGCAGCAGGGCTGTCTCACAAAACCCTGTTCTGAGATGGCTTTCTCTGTCTTGGTGTGTCCTACCCCCATCCTGGGCATCATCTGTGGATGCTTGTAACTCCTCTCCCTCCATCAGTTGTTGCAGATGTTTCCTTCTCCCTTAAGGAACTGGTCCTGCCCTGGCAGAGCTGGTAACACTCTGCTCTCTTGCTTTCATGTATGGAATTGCATGGAGGGAGTTGTCCTTAAAAGGGGAGGAACCACTACTTGGGCATTACCTGGGCTGGAGATGAAGGTGAAGACAAGCAGGAGATGAAGTATGAAAAGCCTGGAGCCATATATCCTTCAAGCAACATCCCAAAACGAAGCCTCTGCCACGGTGAGCCAGCGAGCACCTTCCATCATTCAAAAACTCAACATGCAGTAGACGAGCCGCAACACGAGCGAACCCTCAGGAGGGAGCTGTGAGCTTTGCAGAGCTTAAAACAAGCCATTTTTTAAGCAAGAGCAGCAGAGCAGCCTCCAAGATCTTGTTCCCACCATGCAGCAGCCACCCCAGGTTCCTGAGAGAGGAGATGCCCCTGGACAACACTTCTGTTTGCTTTTATGAGTAAAAGCAAGTCCCTGGTCCCTTATTTGGTAGCTCTCTTGGCCATGCGCCTCCTAAGTCCTGTGTGCTGGGGACACAGCACAGCTGTGTAGGAGGGGTGAAACCAGCTCTAGGCCACCACCTGAGGACACAGGTGGGCTTGCATCTTCAGTGGCCCAGCCAGTGGAAGAGGCTTGGGTTGGCTAGCATTGTGTTGGTGTGCCACAGGGACATCAAGGACTGGGTGGCTGAACGTGTCCCATGTCAAGATTTGAAGGTAAGGTTAAGTCACAGTGTCACTGGTGTCAGTATGGAGCCAGACGTGCTCCAGATCAACACTCACCATCTTCTCCTCTGGGGAAAAGCTCCTGGCTACCCCCAAAAGGTCATCAGAGCAAGGAAGACATAAGAGCTTAAGGAATCTACTTCATCAGAGATCCAGGCCTGGAGGATTCTAATATTGCCTTGGTGATGATGGGAGATGCTCCTTAAAGTAGGTAAGGGAAGAACCAGCACATGCTATGACCAGGCTCTTCCAGTACAGAGGTCCCAGCAGAACTGGAGGCCAGAAGGTAAAGATTAAGTGCATTTGGCCTTCTCAAGAAAGAGGTCAGCAGAGGGAGCTGGAGAAAAGGCCAGTTGGCCCAAAGTGGTCTTGTAGAAGAGGACATCATGACCAGGGGAGGCAAAACAGGTGCCAGCAGGGTCTGGGGTTAACTCCTGAGCTGGGAGCAGCAGGATCCTGCACCAAACGGCCAGTAAGGGTCTTGGGTGGAAATGGGATGATGAGATTGTGAAACCCAGCTCTGCCCCATGATCTTCATGTCCTACAGAGGGGACAGGTGCCATGGAGCTACAAGCAGCTGCCACCATTTTCTGTGGTTCAAAGCACCAGAGAACACTTCAGCTGTGATGCCCTTTATTTTTCTGGGCCTTAGGGGAAAAAAAAGCAGCAACTGGGACTGCAGAAGGGGGGAAAAATTTATCCCCAAGAACAGGGGAAGCTTAATGTTGGGGTGGGTGGTAACACTTCAGCTGAACATCTGGGTAGGTGCTCCTTAAGAAGGGGGGCAGTGACTCCATCAGCTGTTCAGATTAACAACATGAAGACAAGGCTATAGTTTATTTAAACATAAATGCAATCTCTTAAAAAGAAACTAAAATTCCAGAGTCTAACTTTTGCCTTTCAGGGGGGAAAAGCTGATTGGAAAAAAAAAAAAGGCACTTAAAAATGGTCTTCAACTGAAAAGGGTTTTGCACAAATCTGATGCCAGCCAAGGGGAGCTGATTGCAGTTTGATGGTCACCTCTAGAGCAAACTTCACAGAATATGGAGCACAAGGAGACAAGAGACAGACACCCCTTCCCCTCCTGCCCTGCAGAGGTGATGGCTGCTCACAGCAAGAGGGGGAGATGCTCCCTCTTCCCTTCTTTTGATGCTGCAGCTCCTGGGATGAGGGACCTGGGAGTTTCTGAGGACCCATCTGAAAACCACACGCAACAGTAACATCCCCCAGCCCTGGAGGAACATGAAGCAAACTAGAAAAAGGCCCAGGTGTGGTGTGTGGGAGGGAGGAAAACAAAAAGTTTAGGGTTAGAGGTTGATAACCAAGACTGAGCAGGGGGTAGAACATATTCAGGGTTGAAGACAGCTCTGAAATCTATGGGGTGAGTTTCTGCAGTTTGCTCCTTCTGGGTGCAACGTGAGCAGAAAGGGTCCAAAAAAGATTTGGCAAAACCTTTTCCCTCCCCTCCCCACCCCAAGTAAACTACACAGTAGTCCGTTAAGCGCCAACTTTTAACCAGTCTTCTAAGCAAACCTTTCAATATGAAAAGGTGAGGAACATAGAGGGGGTGGGGGGAGAGGGGGGTTGTTTCAAATCACTGCAACACGGCACCAGAAAAGCTGCACAGGCAAAGCT